GCGTCAAGCTCGTACCTCGCTATAATTAGTCTAGCTAGTACATTCAATCGATGCGTTGTGATGTGGGGAGTGTGTTGGTACCTTCGCCGTGGCCGGAGACCTCACCGGCGGCGAGTTACCGGTGGTCAAACCGCGGTCGTCGCTGTTGAGCGTGGGAGGACGGTGATGACAGGTGGGACCCCGTTGTCAGTGACTCTGTATTTAAAAATGGATTTTTCTATTTTGCAGATTTGAATGAATAGTGATGTGATTTGTTATTTTTGTATAGAATTAATTAGAGTTCCAAAAATTATAAACATTTTTGTGTGACCTCTCTGAGATGTGAACTATTTAGGAAAAATATTAAATGTTCATTTTAAGTACATTTTGAATGTGATAAAAATTGCTCTAATTAATTAATAAATGAGCTTCCATAATTTTTCTAGGCTTTATTATTTATCCAAAAATTATGAAAATTGTTTTGCCACTTAGTTATCATGTGATAAGCCTTCACAAAAATTTTGAACTCATTTGGAAAAAGTTGATTTATTTCATAATTTTGAATTAAGTAATTAATTCATAAAAGCAAATAGTAAACCTTAATAACTTAGGTTTTGTTTGAATTATAGATTGAGTGATGACCTTGGGTCATTAGTATAAAATAATTCTTAGTACTTAAAGTAATTGTTTGAATTTACGAAATGATTTAAGTAGTTGTTGCCTTGTAACTGTACCGTGAAGGAAAGTTGTATTCTAGTTATTAATTTGTGTATCCATCATCAAGCATCATATTTTATATCTCGCATCATATTAAACATGACATTGTTACTATGTGTAGTGAACGAAAGTGAGCACGTGGTAGTTAATCAAGTTGAGGAGGAGGTTAATCCGTCTGTTGAGGTCGGATTTGATAATTGTAGAACGTCTCCGGAACCGGACTTTTTCGTTAATCAAGGCAAGCCCCGGATGCATTTAAACCTACCTTGTGCTTTACAAATTTATATCGCTTTTGCTGTTCAGTACTGCATTAAGTGATTAGGAGTTGAGTGAAAACCTAATTGGTGCATTACCAACCTTGTTTTTCAATATCCTCCTTGTTACCCGTTTCAATCCGAGAATGCTTAGTTATGCTTAGCTATGCTTAGACCAATAAAAGTCGGGTGATTACCTATCACCTGCGAGATTTAAATGGATCTTTGGTTATGTTTGGTTACTTATGTTATCATGAGATATGAGCATGTGGAGTAATAAATCTAGACCGAGCGGACTCGGTGTGTGAGAGCCACAAGACATGGATGTCTTATGAGCGGGTTCTTTCCGCCTGTGTCGATTAAGAACCGTCCGTTGTTGAATTGTGTGAGATGAGACTTTGTAGTACTAACCACATACTCCGGTAAGCCTTAACTTGGCGATTCTATTACGAGAATGGCTACTCGCGCACTGGGAGTGGAGAGATGGTGAGAATAGCATGTACCCACGTGGCAATGGGCTGGATGGGTGGAGTACTGTATTCTCGGGTGGCGCAGACCCGTTCTTGTTTTAGAGGACCTGAGGGTGGGTTGGTATATGTAGGTCAGGGACCTGCATATGTCGTGTGGTCTAGAATCCCCAGCTGGGTTATAATCGGTTCGAATCGTCGTTGCTCCTTTGTTATGGAGACTCAACTCTCTGTTCATCATCATAGTTAATAACTAGAACTTGAGAAAGGTTTGAGAAAGTGTTGGATATGATGTTTCATGATCTCAATACGAATCATGTCATCTTTATATATGATCTTTATGAAGTTTTAAATGTTGAATAAAGGATCTTGTAGAGAGATTTTACTCAAAAGAACTTTGATTATTGCTAAAGCCTTACCTTGAATCCCTGAGCCTGCATTCCTGAGTCTTATCAGTTTTACTTCGGTTAAGTCTTGCTGAGTACTTTTGTACTCAGGGTTTGTTGACCCTTGTTGCAGGTGAGCCTCATGAGCAGGTCTGCTTTTGACCGTGCTGCATGACTGTTGTCCTAATCGATGATGATAAGTAAATACGTGGCCCTTGGGCAGGGTACTTTATTGTGTGTGTTGTATTATGTTACTAATGCCACTCCACTACTATGGTTTGTAATATTTATCGAACTTAGTTTGTAAGGTTTGAAACAACTGGTTTGTAAACTAAGTTATTGTAAGACTTCCGCTATTTTACTCTGATGTAGATATTTGAATAAATGTTGTAATACTGCAATGACTCTGTAATGGGATCCTGCTCGAAAATCGTGGATGATTTGGGGTTCTTCGAGGACACCCGACAATCTTCTTAAGTTACCGGGAACATATGCATAGTCGTCAGAGGTCGTTGGACAGTGACAGGTGCATGTGGATCCTATAATTTAGGAGGTTCTGCCACAGAGGCTGGCACGCCTCGATGTAACCCTTGGCCATGATGGGCCATACTTGGCGATTCACATCAAGAATAGTGTCGGGTGTGCCGGTACTGTTCTGCCAATCCTCATACGGACGCTGACAGGCGCGTTAGTTCACCACGATGTTCGACGGGACGGAGTGGAACGCCATGACTGGCAGATGACGCCTGTGCATGGTGCCAGTGACGAACAGGGCCACGACGTGGAGCCATCAATGTTGACATCTTTAAGATCGGCGGGACCCGTATGAAGGAGAAGAAGGATCCGGCAATCCTAGAAGCCTTCTTCTCTCTCTCTTCTCTCTCTCTCTATCATTCTTCTCGTTTTCCTCTGCTGTAACATGTGCTTTCCCTTCGTCTATAAAAGGGGAAGCAGGGTGCCCCATGAAAGGAGCCAGACCATGAGACAAAAACATAAGACCACGACACGAGCACACGGCTGAGCAGCAATCGATGTCTCAGCACCCGTTCACTCCTTCCATCAGAGACTTGGGATCATTTCCCTCTCTCGCCTGTTTGTAACCCCTACTGCAAACTAAGTGTCGGTAACACAAGCAGCAGCGAACTGGACATAGGGACGTTCTGCCTGAACCAGTATAAACCCTTGTGTCCTCCAAGCACGCCATCCGAGCCCGACGCGCAAATACAAATTTACTCGTCGGTGGTCCAAAAACACCGACACTGTGGCATAGAGCGACCAAGGTTGTCCTGCGCACCGTTGAGAAATAGTGCTGGAGAGCCCTCCGCGGTCGAGGGTGCCATGGCTGGTGCTGATGATGAGATCGTTTGGCCGCTCACCGGCAACGACGAACTGATGCATGGGAGGAGTACATTGTTCGTGCTCATAACCCTAGGTTTACTAAGGTTTCTAAACTGACCACCACTAGAGATCTTAGTAAGCTATTTACTGAATGTCGTAATATGCTTAAGAATTCTGTGTTGTCTGATGCTTCATTTGTTGCTTTGACATCAGACATTTGGTCTGGTAATGCTAAGGAGGACTTCATTAGTGTTGTTGCTTATTATATGGGTGCTGATTGGGAGTTAAAAAATGGTTATTGGTCTGAGGTTGATTGAGGTGAATCATACTGGAGTTCCTGAAAATATTTTATGAATCCACAGTTGTTCTTTCTGGTGTTTACTATCTAACTAGTCTACTTATTCTGCACCATCTGCTAGACATTGCTTCTCATTTGCATGCAAGTGAAAAAGATCAAAATCTAATACATGTTGTCTATCCTATGAAGCTTAAATTTCTTAGATACTGGCAGGATATACCTCTGTTATATTCATTTACTTTCATTCTTGATCCTAGAGCTAAGTTGAGAGATTTATTTAATGTTCTGCAAATACTTAAAGAGAACACTAGTGTTGATTATAGTTTATATTATGCTGACGTGAAAACTGAAATTTACAAGTTGTCTAACAAATATGAGAGAAAGTTTGGTGTAGCTAGGTCTCAGAGGCCTGCATAGCCTGCAAGCCGTACAGGTAAGAAAAAACAGGTATGGGGAAGAATCTTTGGAGGCTGGATCATCTGGTGTTATTGGTCCTTCCCCTGTCTCTGCCCGCACTTCATCTCAATCTGCTTCTACTGCTGGTTGTGAGCTCACATCTTATCTGGACACAAACAACTCAATTATCTTAATTCTCTTGTCTTCTTTGGTGGCTTTTGTTAGAATTTAGAATATGTGATCAGTTTATTATTTATGAATGTGAAATACTAAAATATAAATGAATTGTGAAATGTGATTGTGAAAATGGAGAAGTGTTGGATGAGAGAAGCAGTTTGAGGTGTTTTAAGGGCACCGGGACATGGGCTGGCACGGCCCGCGGATTGGGCCATTGTTAGCGGGCCGGCACGGCACGAATTTCGCCCCGTAGGGCCGTGCTTGGGCCGAAGGCTAGGCACGAGACCTGGAGGGACACGACTCGGGAGGCACGGCGTGCCGTGCCTGGCCCGGACCCGGGCCGGGCGGGGGCGTTGACCAACTTTACTTGTTGTCAATGTTTGGTACACGGAAGTCACATAGAAAAAGCTGGACGCAATCCAGTCTACAGTTCGTTTTCCCGGAGCCAATTCAATTTGGTTGAGAACACACAATGCCATGGTGGTAAGGGACATAACGGCCCATGATGTAAAAAAATGCCTAAAATCATTTAGGTCAACGTTAAAAGATACAATTTCTTGTTCTTGTGCCAATTAATGATGATAAAAGGGTTGAGATTTAACTCTCTTGAGTCTCTATTGAACAACATGTATCGGCTAATTCCTGGCATGAAAGAAAAGCTTAAGATTGAAATCGTCACTGCTGATTCGTCTTGGCTTCTGATCTTCTTTTTATTTGGGATTTTTTTATTCAAAGCAGCAACTGTAATATGCAATTTGGTCAGATGTTAGTTGCACCTGATGACTGATGCTGCATGTTTCAACAGGGGGACACAGCAGGGCAGGAGCGGTTCAGGACCATTACAAGCAGCTACTACCGAGGAGCTCACGGGATAATTGTAAACAAATTACTCAACCTTCAAATAAATTTCCTAGAGTTTTAGACCTGCATTTCAATGAACACATCTTTGTTGCCCAAATGTCCCCAGATCGTTTATGACATCACAGACATGGAGAGCTTCAACAATGTGAAGCAGTGGCTTAGTGAGATTGACCGATACGCCAATGACAGCGTATGCAAGCTTCTTGTTGGCAACAAACGTGATCTGGCTGAGAGCAGGACTGTCGAGACTTCAGTTTTTTTTTAAACAATGGCAGGAGCTCTACCACTCAATTAAGACGAAAGAATATTATGTACAAGAAGATTAGCCAGACGAGATGCCAAAATGCACCCGAAGGGCTAATCAACCCACACGACGCAGCTGAGCACAAACACGACACACTACCCTGGGTCATTGTTGCCGAGCATGGCAGCAAAGCTGCCAGCAGCTCCGACTTCCCATGGCAGGCCACCCACTAGCCATCCACCGACGGGCCGCCACCGGTCATCGTTACCAAGGTCAAACACCTCGCGAAGAGCAGCTCCGACTTTCAATCACGAACCCGCACCACGCATCGAAGCCGCGACGATAATCCAAATGCGACGCCTTTAGGAAGGGAGCGACGCTGATGGCACCACCGTCACACGTCCAAAGTGGACTGGATTTTCACCCTTGGATGACAGTGCTAGAGGAAAAACACGACGTCCCCAACAGGGAAGCGGCGCCAAAGGCGTCGCCGTCGCCAAGGCTTTCGCCCAAGAACCCTATAGCACGAACATCAGGCCGAGAAGCTCGGACCCCTTGCCAACAAGCACCGCCATCGCCGTTGTCCCGCCGCCCCACAGAAGCCCATTCAGAAGGGCATCGACGCGCCGGTTACACGCAGCGCCCGCCGCAAGCGTCGGCCGCCACCCCCCCGAACAACAGCCACGTAGAGCGGACCAGACTCCGTTGCTCGCGTAACACCGCCGCCGCGTCGGCGCCGTACCACCACCACGGCTGGCACTCCACCGCCGCCGCGCTGCTCACAACGCCGCCAACACCACGAGACGCATGCCCCCACCATCACGGGCGCCGCCCTTGCCACAGGGCACCGGATCCAGCGCTCCATGCCGACGCCATTGCCGAGCCACCGCCATGGACAGAGCAGCTCCGATTAATCGCCACCCCGGCTGTTGTTGACCCCGGGCACGCCAGACCAGCTGCTCGGGCGCCGCCCGCACGCCACCGGCCAGCACGCCATAGGCCCGCGAAAGACGACTTGAGAGCGCCGCCGGTCCGTAGCTAGGGCCCCACTCCCGCACGTCACCCCCGACGGCCACAGCCAACTCCACGCGTGGGGAAGATAGATCCGGTCGAGGGGGGGGGCGGATCTGTGTGCGCCGGAGCAGGATCCCGGGCGCCGGCTGCTGCACGCACGGGAGTTCCACCAAAGAGAGAGATGGAGAGGAGGAGGAGGAGGAGGACAAAGAACCCCCAGCCGCCGCCATCCTTGCCTTTCGCCGGCCTCCGGTGTCGAGCTCCGGCGGCGGCCAGGCAGTGGAGGCGTGGGGGCGGGGCCTAGCGGCGGCGGGAGGAAGCGCCACCCAAGTCGCCCTCGAGGAGAGAGCGACGCGGGGGCCGAACCTTGGCTGAGTTAGGGCCTGTTCGGTTATCAAGTATTAGACATTGGGAACAATTCCAGCCTGGAATATTACGCTAATTTGTACTATCTTTGATCACAGGGAATGATTCCGGGAGGAAATAGGGCTAAACGAACCCTGTTCGGTTGATCCACTTTCAGCTGACTTCAGCTGATTTCGGATGATTCAATAATATTCTGTGAGAGAGAATAAGCTGAAACAAGCTAAAAGTAGTTCAGCCAAACAGGGCCTTAAGGAACCATCAGGGTCGAGACTTCAGTAGCACAGGTCAAAACTTCCAAGTAGCCTATAAATTCATTAATCCTGTAGTAGTTTAGCAAACAATGGTTGACCTTTGTAAACTTTCTTGAGCTAAATCGGCAACAAAAATAAGTGCAGGCTTATGCTGAGGAGATAGGCATCCCGTTCCTCGAAACGAGTGCTAAAGACTCGATCAATGTCGAGGAGGCGTTCTTGGCAATGTCTGCTGCAATTAAGAAAAGGTATGTCAAAGTGGTTTTCTGGTTTCACTGGTCCTGTTCGTTTTTTTATAATTCGTCTTTTTTCAGCTTGTTTTTTTAGTCGGAACAGTGTTTTTCTCTCATAATAAATTAGTCGAAATAGTATTTCGGCTTGTTTTTTCAGCGAAGCGAACGGGGCAAAAGGGATTATCCTGAGCTGGAAAATTCCTTGTCTCATCTGCAGTAAAGCAGGGAGTCAGGCGGCCCTGGAGAGGAAGCCCTCCAATGTAATTCAGATGAAAGGGCAGCCAATTCAACAAGAGCAGCAGAAGAGTAGATGCTGTTCAGCATGAGGCACAACAGTGTCTGTCTTTCAAGAATCAGTAAAATGATATCTGCTACATATGTTTCTCTGCCTTCGTTTGTTTTGAAACACATATATAGTTGCAAAAATGTGGCGGTGAGAAACTCGAAATGAATCTGAGCCAGAACTCAAGACTGCCAAATTTCATCATTATATTCACAAAGTTCTACCATATTGAACAGAGAGATAATTCAATCTTAAAAAGTACTATATCGTTATAGAGTATTCACAAAGTTCTACCATATTGAACAGAGAGTAGTTTATTTACACATGCAGAGCTTGCAAAGACACAAATACTATTTTTTCCCAAGATGGAGTGGCAGTCAGGATCTAATCTAATTATGATGTTCTCGCATGGTAGCCTAGTTGAACTGGAAACATAGCTTATGAGTTACTATATCGTTGTGTTTAGTTTTGTCCCAAGTCAAACTTTTCGAATTTTGACCAAGTTTGTACAAAAATGCACCAACACCTCGCCTGGTGCAGGTCTGGTGCAGTGGTGAGAGCTATCTCACTGAGTCATCTGGTCGTGGGTTCGAAATAGCCTCTCCGTATATTTTGTGGGGGAAGGCTTGCCTTGGTTTTTCCCTTCCTCAGACCCCACTCATGTGGGAGCCTTTGACACTGGAGTCTGCCCTTTATTAAATATGTCTCAGTAGTGCATTTATTTCGTATTGTAGATTTTAGTATATTTTTCTACAAACTTGGTCAAGAAGTTTGGCTTAGGAACAAAATTGAAACACCATACAGTTTTGGAACTGAAGGTAAATCCATAGGATGGCAGCTTTGCCTACAAATAGTAGTTTCTCTCCATGGTTAGCTGGAACGGTGCTTGCGGTGTCATCGCCATGTTGCTGAAATTTAGAATCCCATTCTGCTCAATTATCTGCATCCACAAGATTAAGTCAGCGATGTGCTGTAACCCTTAACCCGACCGTATGTCTGTTATGGTTGGCCAGAGGACCAGCGCATCTATCCTTCACACCAAGAAATAAAGATTATAAGAGAGATTATATCAATTATGATAGTTTAGGATTGTTATCTTCTAGATATGGTTTGCTAGAATTTGGTTGGATAGGTCAAGTAATCATGTCTTTATAAAGGAAGGCATTATCTCAATCAAGAATCAAGCAACAAGGAAGAATTAATCCCAAGTCTCCTAAAAGTCTAGTTTCCATCCAAGCCACTTCCGTCCGGCTATCTTCTTGGCAGTGTTCATCCCTAATGACCTATGGTTCATAACAATGTCTGGCACTCTGGCCTTTGTACAGATAAAGGGACAGCCAGGTAGGCCTAAAATTCCTGTAGGGGCTACGGCCCCTCCGTAAAAAAAAAAAAAACCTAGGTAGGCCTATTGTCAATTCCTAGATCGGTAGATCCTAGTGCGATCTTTCAGAGAGAGTGTTCTTTAATCTTTATATATATTAAAATAAAGGACATGCAAATTTGCAGTACCCTTTCCTCAAGCACGCCATTGACGGCCTGCAGCATGGCTTCCTGCAAAACAGAAACACAAAGAACCATTGGTGACGGAAATTGCTAAACCTGAGTTTGTTGCAGGAACAGAGCGACAAATACTGAACCAACCTTGTTCCTGAGCATCTCAAACTCCCTAGAGATGATCTGCATCTGTTCAACATATGAGAGAAGTACATCAAAATACTATTTTTCTTTTTGGAAAAGATTTCATCTGTGTATCAAGAAGCGTATGAACCTTACCTTCTGGGAGCGAATGTTATTTACCCACATTTCAAGATTATTTTCAAGGGTTTGGAGCTCGTCAAGATTCATGTGGTTTATATCATTCTCTCCATTCTCTCTATGCATGTACCTGCATGGATGTGCTTAGATCTGTCATGAGTCCTGCAATCAATACTGTAATTGTTTACCAAACACTGGAATAGTCTGGCACTTTTTTGTGATTTGTGGATTCTTGGTAGTTCAACATGACCCATCAGCTCAAACTGGTAAGTTGTTGGAACATAAATATTACTATGAAGATTCATCCTCTCCAAAGTTTATGCAGCTGTATAGCGGTGTGGGTTTTGTATGAGTTTAGAAAATAAAAGAAATAGGAAGGTCATGGACGGAACATCTTTAGCTACTCACAAATTCTTCTGAATTTACAGTAGCTCTCCTGGCTACATTTATGAAGAGATGTCATGCAACTTGTGTTACTCTTATCCAACCTTCTTTGTGCTGTTATTAACACTTTCAGTTCTTTTCCTGATGCTGCATGCCATACACACTATTGTTTGCAAAAGCATGCAGCATGCAGCATGCAGCATGCAAGATAATAAATTTTTCTCTAGTCTAGAAAATAAGTCACTATGCAGAGTTGGTTATGTTTTTTTACAGTACTATAAATGAAACACAGTTACTTTACCTGAATCCCTTTTGAAGCAAATCAATTTCATGTGTTAACGCTAACACCTCTTGTTTTATTATCTGCAAAAACAAGAGAATATCAGCGTACAGAATGATTGTTAGTGCTTGTGAAGTCCTGTTAGCATCACGGATAAACAAATGCCAAGGGCAGGTGCACTAAGCAAAAGTTTGCTCCTAATCTTTTTCTGTTAAATGTTCTAAACTGCGGAGCCACATCACTTGATGCATACTGTCAGTTCCTGACCTGAGTTTTGTTGTGGTTGCTACTTTCACCATGCATTTCTGAATAGGTTCTCCTGTACCTCTCGATCAAACCTTGCATGCTCCTAACATCAAATTTTTTTAAAGAAATGAAGAATGATCACTGTGCATAGTAACGTTTGCATCAATAAACATGAAAGAAATACAGACCCATTGGTGGCTAAGTCATAAATCTTGCCATGAGGGGAGATCACGATGACACCGATATCAGCATCACATAGAACAGATAACTCCTTAGCTTTCTTCAGCAGGCCCATTCGCCGCTTGCAGAAGGTGACCTGCCGGTGCACCGGGTTTTCTATCCTCCTCATCTGAACCTTACCACGAGCCATTCGATCTTCAAGCCTTTTTCTTTTCTACTAGTTTTGTGCACAGAACCTCCCACTAGTTTTGACTAGCTTCAGAGACTGTTGCGACCAATTTGATCTCTCTCTTGCACTTGAGGCAAATGGCGACTTGGACCACCAAGGAAGTGAGCATTTTATTGTCGCTCCTGACTCCTAAGGACAAGGAATAACTGGTAGGCCAGTCCTTCCACTCTGTAAAGGCCTACATACAGGATCTGAACTGTCACCCTTGTAGAGATCATTTTTCTTGAACATGAAGGGGAGCTGTGTATCTTTTATCTGAAACCCTTACAACACACCCACACCACACATATCACCAAACTTTGAAATTACATTAGTGCCTGTGCTAGAGAGAAAAACTACCACGACCAGCAACTTCATTAACCTTCTTCTCTTGGCTGGGCGGTCAGGTATGAGATACCTAGGGCCCCTGACGCATTCCACAGCCTCATCTATTCTGTAGCTAAGGACAAAAGGCTCATAAGATTGGTCACCCTTGTATATAGATCATACCCGGTAAATACTCGCCCTGTTCGTTTGGGCTGGTTTGACTTATAAACCATGGCTGAACTGATTTGATGTGAGAGAAAAATACTATTCGTTGGCCATGGCTTATAAGCCAAATATGATCAAACGAACAGACTAGACTTATCTCCCTCTGTTTCTTGCGCAGCCTTCGTTAGTTTTCTCTACATCGTCCTTATTTACTCCGAAACACCCTTGTACCTTGTTGCATAAAAAATGCTCTTTCCAGAAAGGGGCAAAAGAAATGCACTGGACATTTTTCATTGAGTACCTGAACTAAAAAATATTGTTTTGATAACGTCAACAAATCGGCTGCTCCACTCCCAGTTTGTCTCAGCTTGTTATGTTTGTTTCAGCTTATTCTCTCTCACAGAATACTATTAAATCAGTCGAAATCAACTGAAATTGGATCAGCTGAAACTGGAAGCCGCCAAAACCACTATGAAACCATTTCTGTCCTTGAAATTTCAGACATAGGTCTTGTTTCATGTTGATTCCCAACTACCACGGGAGTCACAGTTTCTGTAGCTATAGTAGTTTGCTAGCGAAAGTGTAGTACGGAGTAGGTAAATACTAACTGGGTTCAGAGCGCATAAAGTTATTTTCTAAATGAATAAATAAATTCATGTCACCTGTACTGCTCCAAACTAAACAATCAAGTTGTCGATGATCATACTGAATATTTAGTGAGGAACTAGTCACAAAAAAAAAAATTAGTGAGGAATATATCCCATGTAAAGACATTTACACTTTACACTGTTATAAGAATTTGTTCTATTTTGAAAGGTCAGACTAATAAAAATTTAAAATCTGCACCTACCTTTCTTCTAAGCTAATATTCTTGATGCCTGCCATCTGATTCAAATTACAGAAAACAATATTGGTCATCTGTGTGCTCTAAACTTATTTCTAAATAGCACAAAGTAGAAAAGGTGCACACTTATTAGCTGTTGAGGTGCCACTACATACACCACATTTCTAATTAAAAAAAACTGTTTATAAACTTGGCTTCTGGACCTCTGCTTTCTACGTAAACTCCAACACAAACCAAAAGAGTATCAAACGGAGCTGTCAGAGGTACAACCTGTTCTTTTAGCATGACCAAACTACCTGCTGTTTAGCAGGTTTCAATTTGCTGCTTGGCACTACAGTTGTTTAATTGAGGAGAATGCATTAATTCACTCAAGAGCCAGAACCTTATCATTTGCACATTCCCAAATCGGTAAGTACTAAAAGAATAAAGCAATAACATGCTTTAGGAATTAGGACCACTCCTTTTCTTGCTAATAAGAAGCTTTCAGCAGGCGTACATATAATAAATTTGAGCACGCACAACCAATTGACCAAACATCAAACTAAAGAAAAACTATATGGTTCCATGTGGACCATGATTGCAGTTTACCAGGACCACTCCTTTGATAAGCCCTTTAATATTGCTTTAGATATTATATTCTGAACCAATTATCTTCAAGTATATATTGGAAGTCGAGGTGATCAATCCCAGCAGCGAGGCACAGCAGTGAAATCATATATATCATTCAGCAAACGCCAGGAATTCCTAAGAAACCTTGTAGTCAACAAATTTAGTTGCGAACCGAGCGTAGCTTAGCTAGTTGGATTTCTTGTGGTGGAACCTGTCTGTGGGGGATACGATCCCGGATACCCACGGCTGGCTACATGGGCTGCGCTCCCAGGGGTGGTCCAGCCCACGAGACGAAGACCTACGGTGCACGACACTGCTCGGCGTGCACCGCAAGACATCAAGGGCGATATCATGAAGATATTACGAGATCTGTTAGATACGTTCGATCATATGATTAATGTAATTTGTTATTACTTTCCGGTTATCTCCTAAATCTAACCGACTTGTAACCCTGCCCCCAGACTATATAAGGCGGGCAGGGACTCCCTCAAAACACACACAACATCATACAATCCAACAGACCACATGAGTAGGGTATTACGTCGCGCTGACGGCACGAACCTGTCTAACTCTTGTGTCTCTGTTGCCTTCTTATTCTCGATTACACGCATCCCTACCGATCAATCTACCTTCGTGGGATATCCATCGGAGGACTACCGACGATATTCTATAGACAGTTGGCGCGCCAGGTAGGGGTGTGCGTGCTGTTTCCATGACGAACAAGATGGTACGTTTTGCAGGCTCTTCGTCCCTCCCACAGCCCGGCCAGATCTTTATGGTCGGATCGATCTCTGGGTCATCAACGCTGATGGAGACGGAGAGCTCATCGAGCCGGTGCATATTGATTCTGCACCGATCACCCCAACACCTGCGACTACAGATCTGATCTTGGAATCGCCTCCAAGGCTGTCTTCATCAACAATTCGCCGCCCGCTCCCCCGCTATCCGAGGAAGCATATCAACAATGATGATCTGATCGCATCCATCGATCAGGTTGGCCAGAAGCTCGCCGACTGCCTCTCCATCGCGGAATCGGCTCTGACCACTCTGGTTCAGCGCCGACCACCCTTCGATTCAGATCTATCGGAGGCTGATCAGGAAGCTCCAGTGGTTACGGCCGCCATCCATCAAGATGCCCTAAGGGGCGAATTCGCCGACCAGGTGGGAGACATCTATCCTCTCACCAATCCGATCGCCGACCAGCTCTCGCCGATTGTCAATATACTGCAGATCGGTCGATGCCCCGAAGCATCCCTCTAAACCATCCTAGAGGAGAATCCAGACTCCGAGTCCCAGGGCTCTACGGAGACTGTCGCCGAAACCACCGCCATCCAACCTTCCTTCCCACCCTTTCGAGGAGGCAGGATTTTTAATGTCAGCATCGACAGCCCTCCATGGGATATGAGAAACCGACGAGGACCGTGCCGCCCGTGTCAACAGGAACGCCAATCGTAGGCAGCGCCGAGCGAACGAGGCCACCATTGTGATAGCCGAGGCTACTCGCAACGAACAGTTTGACTCGCAAGGGAGGCCACGCCCACTCCAACGCAACCTCGATGACGAATTCATCCGTGTCGATGGCCACGATGTCTACAAGACCCCAAGCGCCAACTTGGCCGTGGCCGCCAATGAGCTCGCCTGGCTCGAGCAAACGCCAGAAGTCACCAAGGTCACCGCAATGCTCAAAGCGACACACTGCTAGGTCAACGAGATCCGCCAGGATTAGAGACCTTCCTACTTGACAAGCTCAATTCACCGATCCGCAGCGCCAAGATCCAATCGCCGCCCCAGCAGAAGTCGTTCCGCCGATCAACAGCAAGATGATGGATAACCCCTCCAGGGGGAGCTAGGGGGAACCACTTCGACTACCCTCGCCAACATGACCAAGAAGTCGACCAAGATGTCCGAGTGCACATCAACAATCTTCGGGACACGCTATGTCATATCGACGGGCGCCATTTCTCTCACCATGAAGAAGAAGTACGCCGACGTCAGGAATACGAGCAAGAGTTCGATAATCCAGACACAACCCTCTAGCCACTCAATGTCGGCAACGTCGCAGATCACGACGGTGATGATCCCGAAGGGTCCCGAGCATTCACAAGGGCACTCCGAACGCTCCAGTGGCCCCGTGGTTTCAAAATCACCGGGGTCGAGCCCTAAGAGGGACGGATGAACCCCACTCAGTGGCTACAAGCTTATGCCACCGCCGTGTGTGCCGCTGGGGGAGATACCAGTGTTATGGCAAATTATCTTCCCATCATGCTCATGCCAACTGCAATGAACTGGCTCACGAGCCTCGCCCCGGATTCCATCAGATCTTGGGAACAACTGAAGAAGGTCTTCACCGACAACTACATGGCTACGTGTACTCGGCCGGGCACCAAGCACGATCTGAACCGCATCTACCAGAAACTGTCCGAGCTCCTCCGTAGCTACATCAAGCATTTTTTTGAGATGAGGAATTCTATTCCCAACATCATGGAAGCTGAAGTCATCACCGCCTTCGTCCGAGGACTCCATCACCGCGACCTCCGCTCCAAGTTCAATCGCAAGCCGCCAAAGGGGATTGGCGAGATGATCAAGACCGCCGATCAGTACGCCGACGCCGAAGAGGCCGAAGTTCACTTCAATGAGGATGCAGGCACTCACTGCAGCGATGAGCGCCCCGATGACCGATGCCACAGTGATCGCCGCTATGACGACCGCGGCCACTGTCAGGACAGTGGCCGTGATCGGCCGAAAGGGTCTAGAGCCGGTCAGTATCGCCGTTGCCGACCAGACAACATCGTCGCCGCCGTTGATTAACCTCGCGCCAAGCGTAATTACGACAAGCAGTACAAGAAGATCCTCAAAGGCCTGTGCCCCCTCCACAAGAACAACAAGCACAAGATGAAGGACTGCCTCGGCTTGGCTACGGAGTTCCAAGCCAAAAAGCCGACGACGACAATGACGATGGAGCCAGAGGCCGCCGACCACCTGGGGACAACAACAACGCCTTCTAGGATCATGACAAAGTGGTCTCCACCATCTTCGA